CCTCTGTGAGTCTGTTAGATTTGAACAACAGTGGTGTCAATGTAACTAATCGACAGCATAAAAAATAGTTTCCAGATCAGAAAAGTGTTAAGTATGGTACACTTAATGCTCTAGTCCTTTCGTTTTCGTAATAGAGCCCGATTTTTGATATTTGATGATTAGATAAACATCTTTATCAAGGTTAATGAGACTTTTCGAACGTTGGACTTTTGACATTGACCGTTAATTTGAAAAGAAAAACATCAAAAATCTGACTCTATTAGCCTCTAGCCACATGTGTATTTGTCAATTTAAGCGGCATCTCAGAAACCACGCACGGTGGAGGCAAGCAAAAAATTTTATCACCATACTTTCACAAGATCAGCATCTCCTAAAAGTTTGATCAAGATCGGACTTATAGTTTCACAGATAGGTTTCTGACCGGGACGGAGGCTTTGACGCTTTACTAAGAAACCCTAAGAACAAGAAAAGAAAGGTTTTTAGTTTTCTAATGTTGTCAACATGCAGGTTCTCTCTCTCTTAACAAGACACGGTCCCTCGTTGAAAGATTACTGTCGATTCTAGGACATGAAAAAATAAGCGAAACATGCGAGGTAGAGTATGTATGAATGAGAAAAAAAAGAAAAGTAAATATTATTTCTTTTCTCTTTTTTCATCGTTGCTATCTGACAGAACAAGTTATTTTGCTACGTTTTATTCTTTGGTCATACTATGCATACTATGTTTGATGTTTTTAAGTCTAAGTAACATAGAAATTTTATTTAGTTGAACGAAGCACGCAGTATAATAGTATGCAAAGTTTCTAAATAAGATGTTTGATTAAAATGACTTCTATAGCTCCTTTTTCGTATATACGTTCTATACAGACCTTCCTTCTCGAACTGAAAAATCTTTATAAAACGACCAGGGATAGACTGACAAGTAGGGTAAGAGGAGAGAAAAGAAAAAACATTTTACTTTTCTTTTCTTCTTACTCATACGCACACTACCTCTCATGTTTCGCTTGACAAATATCTTTCACAAGCTGATTCATTATATATAGAACGATATATATCTACACTTTAGAAAAACATCGTTCCTAACAGATGTCTCTCATTAAAACCGTCTATAACCAAGTATGTGTAAATGACAAATGTGAAATAGGAGTGAAAAATCGAAAAGCATCCTTTGTTTTCAGGATTCGGAAATATGGAGCAAAAAAATATTTCAGATGGCCCAAATCTCGAAAAATTCAAGCATAGACTAGATATATATATCGCAGTGATTTCGTAGATCGGAAAATTCTTCATCCTCTGAACCTCGACTTGAATTCTGGACCATAAATGAGCTATGTTTATATTCATTTTCTCTCTCACATAAGTGACTTAGTATAGTAGAAAATGTCATGGGTAGATAAGAACTGATTAGGTTGAACATTTATACTTATAAACCGTACGTTTAACATTTTTTTTCAGATGATTTACAGAATTAGATATTTATCCACTCCATTCAAAGTAATCCAACGGTTTCAGTCAGCTGTTCATGAACGGCGCTTTGTATCATCTGTTAGTAATTACGCCGAGTCACCAGCAAAGTTAACGCAAAGTTATTATCATCACGCCTCATCGGTGCCTTATCGCTATCGAACCGTTGGTCAACAACTGGATCATTTAACGTTAATTCAACCAACATTTGAATGTTACGTGTTTCAAGGCGAGAATAAACGATATACACTTAAAACACTGAAAGATGAAATCGACAGTATAGCAGTATCATTATTAGAACTCGGTTTCGAGAAGAATGATCGATTAGCTGTTTGGTTACCAAATACATCCGAAAACGTTTCAATGACTTATGCATGTTCAAAATTAGGCGTTATTAAAGTAAATATTAATCCTGCTTACCAGGATCGTGAGTTGTCCTATTGTTTGAATAAAGTTGGATGTAAAGGGCTTGTTATGCAACCAAAAGTCAAGTCAATTGATAGTTTAAATATTCTAAAACGAATTATACCTGAACTCGAACATCAGTCAGGTGATTTAAATTCAAAATTGATACCATCATTAAAACATGTCATTATAACTGGTGACTCAACGCCTGTATCTGGTACACATTCTTACAATTATTTATTGAATCGTGGTGCAAATAAAAGGCAAAACGAATTATTCGAACGCCAAAACTTTCTCGATCCCGATACACCATTAGCAATTTATTTTACATCAGGTACAACTGGTTCGCCGAAAGCAGCAATATTAACTAATTTTAATATGGCGAATAATGGTCGAGTATTTAAGTTACTATATTCGGATTATTTTGAGAAACTTTGTTGTCCAATACCTCTATTCCATGTATTTGGTGAAGTATGTGGTACATTGAATAGTATCACGAACGGATTTTCTACCATCTTTCCCTCTATGTTGCCTGATACTGTAGCCACAATGAAGGCAATCGAACAAGAACGATGTACATGTTTAATAGGTGCACCTATTATCTTTCAGAATATACTAACGCATGTTGATCGCAAAAAGTACGATATGAGCTCGTTGCTTTTCGGAATTGTTGGTGCTGCTCCTGTGTCTTTACAATTGTTAGAGACAATCGAAAGAGAAATACCAATTAAATACATATCACAGGGCTACGGAATGACAGGTGTGTAGAAATGCATAATTTCTATAACATCATGCACTTCACTCAATCATTTTTTAGAAAACGCGGCAGCTTTAACGATGAGTGTATTTGCTAACGAGGATAAACAAAGAAGACATGGTTCTGTCGGTAAAGCAATGCCACGTCTCGAAGTGAAATTAGTGAATAAAAACGGTGAAACGGTGCCAATTGGTGAAGTAGGTGAAATATGGGCACGTGGTTATAATGTAATGAAAGGTTATTGGAATGATCCGGATAAAACACGTGAAACAATAACAAATGAAAATTGGTTGAAAACAGGTGATGTTGCCACGATGGATGACGAGGGTTATTTATATTTTCACTCTCGACAAAAAGAAATGGTTATTATTGGTGGTTTGAATGTTTATCCAGTGGAAATTGAACATACTCTTGTTGAACATCCCCAAATAGCCGACGCACAAGTATTTGGTATCCCTGATGTGAAATATGGTGAAGTATTGTGTGCATGGATCAAGTTAAAAGAGCATGAACATGGTGATATACAAGAAATTAAAGATTTTCTTAGCAAACGTCTTGCCTTTTATAAAATTCCAAAGCATATCAAGATTGTCGAGTCGTTTATCGAATATATGACACCAACGGGAAAAGTTCAAAAGTCCAAGTTAATCGAGATAGCAAAAGAATTGAACAAAATATAACTTTATCCGTGTACGTTACTTCAATGAATCTCATGCATGATTTTCTATTTTTGACTGTTTTCGGGCTGGATAAAAACATCCAATTGTATTCTATTAAACAACTGAGTTTCGCAAAATACCACCCGGATCCTGTCACCAGCTGTGCTCGTAGTGGATGAAAAATAACTTTAAATATCACAGAAGTGTGGTGAGAAATTGATGTAGTCGTTTTAAGATGAATAAGAGGACTTGAAGGAGTTTCACGAGTCTCTCGAGTGTTTTCTTTGACATATTCAGAAGACGGCAAAGTCTCGGAGACTCTGAGCGTAAGAGAGTATTCAGTAAAACTGTCTCGACCGGACGCTTGTATAAAATTCGATGTGCTTTTCGAAAAGGTGATTGGTACAACGAAGACAGATGTTTGATTAATAAAAACATTTTCATATCGAATATTTGTCCGTAGTTTTTGATGAATTTTTATCAGAGCGTGACGTCCAGAATAACATAAAAAACTAATAACAGTCGGTCGTGAAATATTTTTAATCGTTGATGACAGATGGTGTGAAGAATAAATAAATCTTGCATATAACCATTATATGCAAGATTTATTTATTTTTCACATGTGACATGTGACTGACTGTTGTAGCAACAAGTACAACAATTTTATCTGTATTTTCATTTCCCACGTCTTGCAGAAAGAGAAAATCTGCACAAGTTCTTTAAAGATTTTTTTTCTTGAAAATTCTTGATCAAGATTTATTGATACCTCTGCACTTGATGTCCTTGGAAAAACTTGATCAAGATTTACTACGGTTTCAAGTCTGATGTATCTTGAGAATTCTGTATCAAGATCTTGTTGTTGTCTCTATCA